CAGGGAAGTGAAGGGGAGAGAGAGAGAGAGAGAGAGAGAGAGAGAGAGAGAGAGAGAATAAGAAGATGCTCAGGGCTGAGCCTAGAGGACCAAGGGCCAATGAGTCAGCAGAGGAGACTGAGAAGGGGTGCAGTGTGTTGAGGAAAACCCAGAGAAAGTGATGCAGGGCTGTGAGGGGAAGTAGATATTTCTGGAAGGAGGGAATGTCCCGGTGTGGTGAGAACATGCAGAGAAGTGAGCACTGGGTTTGGTAGACATGACGTTTACAGTCGGTGGAGTGTATGAGACAGAACCTGATTGGACCGTTTGAAGGGAGGACAGGAGCTGAACACGTGAGGGATGATTACAGGTGCCTCTGAGCAGCGACCTCAGGGAGACAGTGCTCTGGGCTCAGGGAGTCAGCTGGACCTAAAGCATAAGAACAAAGGAGCCTGAAGAGAAGCTGGGGGACAAGAGAACCAGAGATGCTCAGTCATCAGCGAGGAGCCACTGGAGTGGCCTTGAAGGCAGAGGTGACTGTTATGAAAGCCACCAATTCCACAGCCACCGTTTATTAGTGACCAGAGCAGACAGTCACCACCTGGGGATGAGGGTGGAGTCATGGGCAAGACAAATCTGGTCCCTGCGGCATGGAGCAGCGTCATAGTTGTAGAGCCAGGTGACATAGTCTAGGTCTCAGAATCTAGAAAGTCCCTCTCTTCTACGTCTGCATAGTCCTTTCATAGTAGGTGCATGTATATCCTGTTATATTATAGACCAATGTTTCTGTCCTTGTGTTCCAAATGATATTTAGTGATAAAATTATTAAAGACTATTGCCAAATGATGATGAAGATATGTGATCTAGGAAGTTAAGGAATAGAAAGATCTTGTGAGTTTGCATTCCCAAGGGTTATAAGAATTAAAATAGCAATATATTTATTGAGTGCTTATATGATCAGCACTAGGAAGAATCACTATTTAATTCCACACTTAACAATATGAGGATTTCAATATGATTAAATCTGTTTTAGAGATAAAGATCAAGGGCCATGGGTGTTACAATCTGACCCAGTGGGAGAGTTCGTGTTCTAATTTAGGTTCCTCATTCTAGAGCTTGGGCTTCCACCCCCACTGTGAACAGGGGCTTGGCTGGGTCTGACTTGCTGCTGAGATTTCTGATGTTCCCATGGGCCAGCGTGTGTCTCAGGGTTGGGGGCAACAGGTGCAAAGGCTGCCAGTTCCAATATACAGGAGGAATTTACATTCATTTTGCATTTACACCTTGAAAAGTTCCATATGGGCTCACATTATGTTGTGAGCATGTGAGAAACACTAAGAAGTTTAAGTGCCCTCCTCTGTCTCATATTGTGCCAGCAGGTGGGCTTGGTTTGCCAAAGGAAATACAGGATGCCTGATTTAAGCTGAATTTCAGAGAAACAGCAATTATTTATTTGAAATCCACATGTGCTGGGAATTTTGTATTTTTATTTGCTTTATCTGGCAGCCTTTCAGGTGGGCCCATGAGCCTGGCCTTATAGTGCTAACCACACAGGCTACAGTGAACAGCAACTCACACATGTTTATTTTCAGCTTCTCAGGTGTCAGGAAGGTGCTGGAGAATTTGTGAAAAGTAAGACCTGGTCTGAGCAGAGTGCCCTCCCCTCTGCCATCACTTCTATGTGAAGGTCTCCATCTAAAGCTGGGACCTGCTGCTGTTTGTAATCGGTCTCTGTGAGGGGGTCATCTCAGCTGCTCCCCTTCTGAGGGACCTGCCTATAGAAATGAGAGTCCACATCAGGCCAAGGCTGGTAACCTGATGCCTCCTGGTATTACTGGGAGCAGGAGGCGGTTAGAAAGTGAATTAGTTAGGACTCTGGGAATTGAATGGTTGTGGCTGTAGCTGCTCCTGTGGACAAGCAGAGGGCCAGTGGCGGGAGATTATGAAAGAAGACGATGTGGAGGATAAATGATGACTCGGTGATTGGGTGGCGAGGCAAAGAAACAGGGAGATCTTGGTCCTGAACAAGTTTATTTTCCTAAAGAAATTACTGTGCACTGGGACCAGATTCCTAAAATATATAAATTCCATATAGTCCAAACTTTTCCACAGATATATTGGTAGAACTTCCTATGTAATTCCCAGCTGCTGTATAATCAACAGTGGCTTTTCAACCCAGATTTTTCAGATGATTCAACACCCCTTCCCCCTCTTCCCAGCGCTGGGACATCTGCAACATTTAAAGCCATGCTTGGACAACTGGTGGGATGCCTTGTACAGCCCACTGTGTACAGAACACCCACCCCAACCACGCTTGGAGGAGGACCCCGGTGCTGGCAGTGGGGGTGCCGGGGTCCTGTGTTCCCACCGCCTGGTTTCCCTGCGTTGGGACGCTTCGCCATCGTCCCTCACCAGCGTGATGGGTTGTTCATTCCTGTCCCCGCAGCGCATTTCCTGCATCAGGTTAAACAAGAGTGTCATTTCTCCAACGGGACGGAGTGGGTGCAGTACCTGGAGAGACACATCTATGAAGGACAGGAGACGCTGCGCTTCGACAGTGACCTGGGGGAGTTCCGAGCACTGACCGAGCTGTCACGGCCCGAGGAGAAGGCCTGGAACAGCCAGAAGGACTTCCTGCAGCGGAAACAGGCCAAGGCCTTCTGGGTGTGCAGACACAACTACAGGGTGTCTGAGAGATTCCTGGTGCCTCAGCAATGTGAGTGGGCGGTGTGGGGGGAGGCGTGTGCCCACAGGGCTCTGAGGAGCACCCCTGAGGGGCCTGAGGGCGGTTGTGGGGACCCTGTGTAGGGCGTTTCTGGGGGTGCCCAGCCCTGTCCAGTGTG